GCCGGGATGTGCGTCACAGTGGATGGGTGCAGGGTGCTGGACATCACTGAACCGTACAACTTTATGTGACGGAAAGTACATGTGAGTGGGTGACCAACATTGATTTTCACGTTACATATAGGGGTCGTACAACAGGCACATGCACATGCTTAAGGGAAATGTTGAACCGATTTGTACGAGCAACATACACTTATTTGAACAGTGCAAAGGCAATGTATGAGTAGGGCCCAAGGCCCACAACGAGCCAAATGCATATGAACGTAGAGCGGCTTGACATTGCTACGCATAATCACGAGTCGAAATATATTGAACAAGCTGGTAGAGCTAGCTCCGCTGGTGGAATAACAAATGCATTGCCACCAATGCTGTTTGAGTGGTATACAACTGATCGCGTTAATCATAGTTTTATGTGCGTAAGTCAACAGTCGAAACTAGCCACTTTAAATTAACCCTTTATGTACCAGCCTTCTAATGTATGTAAAGGGCTATCGCAGCCAAAGAAGCAACCATGGTATCAAATCTAGACAACTTTTGTATATGCAAGTTGTGTTTTCCTAACTCCATATGTATCACTGCACCCAGGTAAGCATGGATATTGGTACAGCATGCAGTAGTATATGAAGGCCATAGGTGGAATACCAAAGATACGCGCCAATTGTGCATATTTCTGACCAACCACAAACAAATAGACTGAGAATAAGTTTGTGCTCGTGTACTGGGAACATAGGGACAAAACAACCTCATAAGCATTGTCTCAGTGCATGAAGAGTAACAACATACCAGGGAAATGGTCATATTTTCACACATTTGAGGTTTAACAATTGGTTCAAAATTGCAAATTTTGAATTCTTATCTCAGATTCGAAATCTATATTTTTCTTCATCTACTCACATCCAGCGTCAGGTAAGTGAAAGAGAAGACCAGAAGCAGTCGCTGGCTGGTGAATTACGCCTGCCTTGACGATGTTAGGCCATCGCTGCCCTCCCTCTCGCTCCTGTTTTGAGAGCGAATACTACGATGGGATCAGCGATATAAATTTTCAATTTCGAGTCGCATTCCGCGATGATATCGCCACAGCCGATCTCTCCAATCGTGCACCACGTCTAGAAGACGTCGAGATGACCTAGAACAAGCTACATCTTCGCTACAAGAAGAGAAACTGAGCGAGAACATGATCGAAACAGCGACAATTGTTTGCGTTGAAAAGCATACTTTTGAACGCGTTCGTTCTCCATACTTTCAAATGGCAACCTACCCATATCATACATCAACATTTTCAGTAGGATCTCAGCTGTCAAGAGCAAAAAACCGCGGGTCGATCGGAGCTACGGCGGCGGGGAAAGGCGCGCTTGATTGGACTGCAGCGAACCGCACCATATGGTACGGTTCGAGATGGGGCTGGTACACAAAGGGTTAATGGAAAGCATGAATTTAGATGGGGAAGCATGCATTCAAATGGAGAAGCATGCATTTGAATGGTAACCATATATAGTGTAATTGAATATGGAAGCATGCATTTAGATGGGGACGCATGCACAATTAGATGGGAACCATACATTTGAATTACATTTGAACCGGAACCATACATTTGTATGGGGATGCATGCATTTAGGTGGGGACGCACGCACTTTAATGGGGACGCATGCTTTTAGATGGGAACCATACAATTAGGTGGGAACCATGTACATGTACATGTACATGCATTTGAATGGGAGCCATACATTTTAACCGGAACCATACATTTAGATGGGAACGCATGCAATTACATGTAGATGGGGAAGCATGCTTTTAGATGGCACCCATACATTTCAATGGTAACCATACATTGAGAGCATACATTTGGATGGGGAAGCATACATTTGGATGGGAAAGCATACATTTGGATGGGAAAGCATACATTTGGATGGGAAAGCATACATTTGGATGGGAAAGCATACATTTGGATGGGAAAGCATACATTTGGATGGGAAAGCATACATTTGGATGGGAAAGCATACATTTGGATGGGAAAGCATACATTTGGATGGGAAAGCATACATTTGGATGGGAAAGCATACATTTGGATGGGAAAGCATACATTTGGATGGGAAAGCATACATTTGGATGGGAAAGCATACATTTGGATGGGAAAGCATACATTTGGATGGGAAAGCATACATTTGGATGGGAAAGCATACATTTGGATGGGAAAGCATACATTTGGATGGGAAAGCATACATTTGGATGGGAAAGCATACATTTGGATGGGAAAGCATACATTTGGATGGGAAAGCATACATTTGGATGGGAAAGCATACATTTGGATGGGAAAGCATACATTTGGATGGGAAAGCATACATTTGGATGGGAAAGCATACATTTGGATGGGAAAGCATACATTTGGATGGGAAAGCATACATTTGGATGGGAAAGCATACATTTGGATGGGAAAGCATACATTTGGATGGGAAAGCATACATTTGGATGGGAAAGCATACATTTGGATGGGAAAGCATACATTTGGATGGGAAAGCATACATTTGGATGGGAAAGCATACATTTGGATGGGAAAGCATACATTTGGATGGGAAAGCATACATTTGGATGGGAAAGCATACATTTGGATGGGAAAGCATACATTTGGATGGGAAAGCATACATTTGGATGGGAAAGCATACATTTGGATGGGAAAGCATACATGTACATTTGGATGGGAAAGCATACATTTGGATGGGAAAGCATACATTTGGATGGGAAAGCATACATGTACATTTGGATGGGAAAGCATACATTTGGATGGGAAAGCATACATTTGGATGGGAAAGCATACATTTGGATGGGAAAGCATACATTTGGATGGGAAAGCATACATTTGGATGGCGAACCATACATTTGGATGGCGAACCATACATTTGGATGGCGAACCATACATTTGGATGGCGAACCATACATTTGGATGGCGAACCATACATTTGGATGGGGAACCATACATTTGGATGGGGAACCATACATTTGGATGGGGAACCATACATTTGGATGGGGAACCATACATTTGGATGGGGAACCATACATTTGGATGGGGAACCATACATTTGGATGGGGAACCATACATTTGGATGGGGAACCATACATGTACATTAGGAATGGGGAACCATACATTAGGAATGGGGAACCATACATTAGGAATGGGGAACCATACATTTGGAATGGAAACCATACATTTGGAATGGAAACCATACATTTGGAATGGAAACCATACATTTGGAATGGGAACCATACATTTGGAATGGGAACCATACATTTGGAATGGGAACCATACATTTGGAATGGGAACCATACAGTCATTTGGATGGGAACCATACATTTGGATGGGAACCATACATTTGGATGGGAACCATACATGTAGATGGGAACCATACATTTAGATGGGGAATCATACATTTAAATGGAAACTATACATCTGAATGAAGCCATACATTAGAATAGGAACCATACATTTGGATGGTATCCATACAATCAGATGGGATCCATACAATGCCCATACAGGAATCAAAATGGCGGCTAAACCTGAAAAATTTGGGCATAGGTCTGTTGCTTTTCCCCATTTCGTGTTTTTTTTTTAAAGAATTTGATTTTTCTTAGATGTCCATCATTTTATGCCCCCAATTATGATCAGAATATCGAAGACTGAGTTTTTAAAGTTTCCCTCCCCATTGACAGGTGTTCCGTTCCATTTTTGGGTCAGCAATGAGACAAGGACATGGGTATTTGGCCATTTTGAAAGAACTCTGGAAAGGCAACATGCCATGCAATTAAAATGATCAAAGATCACAGGCTCGACTCATGATCCATGCTCATTGCTGATTCATTGGGAATATTGAAATAATAAAAGGAGGGGAAGCTGCTGGCGACTCCATGACGAGGCCTTCATTGACGATCCAAGCCGTGCCGAGAACCTGTGCATGCGGGCTAATACATCTACGAATTATTGAAATGCAATTTCGTTACACAATCTGGACGTCACGCTTGGAGTGTGCTGCAGCAGTCAACACGTCTATCAGTGAAAGGCGCATCCGACCGCATGTATGCCATCACAACAAACCCCAGGTGGGTTCGAATCTCCAACGGCAAAAACCATGCAAGGGTATTAGGGGCTGTAGGGGCTGATTGCTGTGGATACAGGTCTTCTAAGACGTGTATGCTCCCTAGAATGGGTCCCTCAAAAAATATTTACATTGCTTTCTTTGAGAACTCAGTGGAGGCTTCGCACTATTGAGAAGCATACATTTCTGAGTGCCAGTAGTTCCCTGCTCACTCGGAATCATGGTATCAGGGCTCAGAGTGTCGATTCTAATTGTTACCCTCCAGCCAGCGTACAGTTACCCTCTTTGGATCCTGGGCCTAGTGCTAACCAGGGTCCAACGTGCAACATGCGCTTAGCTCGCACAGGGCATGGGGGGGGGGGGGGGAGGAGTGCACCCCTGAAGGTTTCGACCTAGGCTCAGCATGCACCTCATGACCATGAATGACATGCACCAGCCATCCTACACATACATTGGATGCGGCGTGCACCCCACTAGAAGGGGGACCAGCTACACCCCTGTGCAAGTTCATGCAATTGCCTTCCAAGTCCGCACCACATGGGCAACAGAGAATGCTTTACCTTTTTTAAGAGCTGGTGATGAAGGCAATGCCAAGCTGCATCGAACCCACACGATGAGAAAGACAGCTTCTCATCAGTAGTAACAGTGCGACTGACATCTTCAGAGTAGATATTGACGGTGCCGGCATCATTGTGACACACACGAAGTGAGCAGTCATGCGATGGCTGGTGTTGACTGCAGTGGTATTAGCGTGATGGTCACACAGCTGTAGTGATCAGTCGATGCCGGTAGTAGCAATTTACAGCGCTGATAGTACCGAGCTGGCTGATGCCGCTAGTAGCAAAGCATCCGGCATCGGTAGTAGCGAAGTGGTCGAGCGTGTATGGCATCAAGCTGGCCGGAATCGGTAGTAGCGTTATGGCTGGCATCGGTATAAGCGAGGTGGCCGGCGTCGGTAGTAGCGAGGTGGCCGGCGTCGGTGGTAGCGAGGTGGCCGGCATCGGTGGTAGCGAGGTGGCCGGCATCGGTGGTAGCGAGCTGGCCAGCATCGGTAGTAGCGAGGTGGCCGGCGTCGGTAGTAGCGAGGTGGCCGGCGTCGGTAGTAGCGAGGTGGCCGGCGTCGGTAGTAGCGAGGTGGCCGGCGTCGGTAGTAGCGAGGTGGCCGGCATCGGTGGTAGCGAGGTGGCCGGCGTCGGTGGTAGCGAGGTGGCCGGCGTCGGTAGTAGCGAGGTGGCCGGCGTCGGTGGTAGCGAGGTGGCCGGCGTCGGTAGTAGCGAGGTGGCCGGCGTCGGTAGTAGCGAGGTGGCCGGCATCGGTAGTAGCGAGGTGGCCGGCATTGTTGTAGCGACTGAACTGATAGTGGTTGAGATGATCTACATGAGCAGTTATGAAGCAAACAGTTATTGTTTAGCTATGCTCTTATCACAGTTGTAAAGCACATAAGAACTTTCTGGCCAGCACAGTAGAAGAGTAAGCGGCATGGTCTGAGATGTGGTCAAGGCATGTAACTCCCTTTGTACATGTGATCATCAGCCACAAACAAGTTGCAAAGCAGTCCTACACTCACCGGCTATGGACAGGGGAATCAAACTGGTGCACATGTCGCGAATACAAAGGGATAAAGAATGACTGTGCAGCAACAAACAGCTGGAAAATGACTGCAATTGGCATTGATTGCTCCATTTCAGAATTCATCCGTTTTGTATTAGCCACACATTCACCGACCCAACACACCTGCCAGTAGCAAGCAACTGCGTGTAAACTCTGCTCCTCATCAGTAACCTCAACACCCCATGTACAACTGAGCGACATGTCCAAAACACATACTCTGGCCATGTCCCTATCACCTACTCCGCAAGCCAGAATTAGACAATTGTAGCATGCAGAAACCAGCTGGGATAACGTACCAGGCGAATGGCTTATACTTAGCCATGCTGTGGCGGATCTTGGTCCCTTGGCCTTGCATGTCTAGCCGCAGTGAGGAAAAATAGACAGCTTCACACAATGGATTAGAAGCATACACCCATGTGACAGCAGCCATCGACGGCTATTGTCACATGGGGAACTAGCAAGCCTAAACAGCAGAATGCATACCCTACCAATGTCTACATACGTACCACCCAAATATACGTTACCAGAGAGACGGGCGTGAGCGAGGCTGTCATGGTGTCCATGGAGTGCTTGAACCTACCTGAGTAGGAATGAATGAGCATGACACAATTGTTTAGTTACATACACCCACACAACAGCAGCCTGTGACAGCCACTGTTGTATGGGGATAGTACAAGTAACAGACACGGTTACTAAACAACATGGTGTTGTACAATACACCAAGCATGCAGTACATAACAACATATTTACCAATGGTAGGCCCGATGACTTGACGCCGTAGCGCTGGTTGGTCGTAGCGCTGGTTGGATGTAGAAGAGATGACCTACAGGGCTCTTACCTTGCCCTGATCTATGCCTAGCTACCCTAACTAAGAATGTGAATATAATAGAATTTGAGTGAGAGAAATGAAGTATTGTGAAAATATGAATATAGTGTGGCATGAGGGTCGAAAATTGTTTAGTGTTTGTTGTGGTTGATAGTCTGGTTGGCTCCAGCCACCAGTTGCCGCCACTGCTTGGCTGTTGCACTAGTCATCGGCCGGGTATGTGCCGCTCCACCTCGCTCCCCGCTGGCCACATTGTGTAGTAATCACTGAGTGTGTAGTGTTGTGCACTGATCCCTGAGGAGGTGTGTGTGTGTGTGGGAACAGACATGCAGGTGTGGAAATAGTAAGAATGATGTGGCTGTATAATAATGCTACGCGCAACAGTACAATTCAATGCATCCACAAACAAAGGAATTCATGATTAATTCTACCAAACATGATTTGAAATCGTGCAAGATACTAGTAGGTAATACAGTAGTACTATTAGGGTAGGGATATTGATACTGCAGACTACTACGGACTATATTGGGTATGGGTTGTGACACAACAGACCATTATTTATAGAGCATGGGTTGTGATGGCATACATACAGGAAAATACCTTGAATACTACAAGTCAGTGGCTAGAGCATCGCTGGCTACAAGCGAGGGTCCCTGGTTCGAGTCCTGGTGGTGACAGTCAATTTTTTCTTCAGACGTTTCCCGTTTGTGTGTTTCCCTCAAACTAGTGAAGAATACTATAAAAGTAGCAAAATTGAATAATCGAACGCCAAGATTTTTGTCGTAAGGCATTGTCGCCCTTTGTCGTGCAGTCTTGATCGACTGTCTTCCGCAATACAGGCCAGGAAAGTTTTGAATGGAGGAAATTTGACTGGCATTAAATCTTCCACTTGTTCAAAGAACTACATATTCCTTTTCCTGGAACCCCATTTTTGAGGCATAGTTCGACTGAAGGCAGTCATGGAGTCGCCAGCAGTACCCCCCCCCCCTCCCCTCTTTACCCTTCAGTAATGGTCAACACCAGGGGAAATGGAACGGAACACCTGTCATTTTGTGGCAGCAACATTGCAGCAAGAGTCTTGCCGCAATGAAGTGCCCCCTCCCAAAAAAGGTTTTCCAGGAGCAAAATAAATCATAAAGGGAAGCATGGATGGCAGATGGCAGGCCTGGAGCAAACACACACATACGCGCACGCACGCACACACTCACAGACACACACAGACACATACAAAAGAGGGAGACATAACACCTACATAATATCGTGTGCAGTTTGCATCTGTAGTATTCTCAAAGAAGTCCTAAGAGACACCATCAGAATTGTGATTGCTTGTCATACGTAGTTACTCATTCAAAGCTATGTAGGGGAAATCCCGTCTATTGCCTCGTTCGCATAGTTGTAGAAACCATGGAAACAACTGCACACCCTTCACTGTAGGACTCGTGTAGCTCTTCTGGCTCACATTCAAATGGAGGTTGGACGAAGTCAGACTAAGGAGCAGGGTTTTCTAGTCCCAAGCCTAGTACAGTAGTTTGAAAGTGCTAGACTTGGGCTTTCCAGCTGAAGCTTGGTCCTGATTGGGGGCGTATGTCCAAGCTCCAAGGGTGAATTGTTTTACTGAGTGGAGTGTGAGTAGTATACAATAGCCTACAGTTGTGAGTTTGAGAGGAGCCCAACTTGATACTTATCATGACATCGCCGCAACCGATCCTGTTTCCCAGCCTACATAGGTTGTCCGTGGTGGTAAACTCGACTGGGCACACACACAAGAAACAGTGACACCGCACAGCAGGGTCCCTTAGTGAAAACCTATTTGAAAAGCTATAATGCACCTAGCCTACTCTTGCTCATTCACAGTAGTTGGACCCAAGAGTGAAGACATCAGAAGTCAAGAACTAACGACTTCTGGTTCAAACTGGCTCCACTCTACCCATAACGATGTAAAGAGAGAGAGTGTGCGGGGGGGGGGGGGTGTCCATGTTGCATACAGCAGTGACTTTTCTGTACCATCCGTAAGCCCCCAGCCAAAATGGTCCAGGACAGTTACTGCCAGGAGAGGTGTCACTTTACCACGAAGGAAAAGCACCCAAGTGTGTATGGAACCATACAAAACTGGATCCAAGAGGATTCAAAAGTCAGGAATGTCATGACTGCGGGCTGGCTGTGACATAACAAAAACAAGCCCTTTTGGTCAGCTATTCCACTGGTCGCGCAAACTTCAAGAATTCTTATTGCTCGCACTTTTAAATTTTCCTTTCGGCATCCATGATCACCATTTCTCCCTAGACAGCATCTTAGCCACAGTACAATCAATGTGAGCATGTTTACCTGTGAGAAAGAAGGTGGGTAGCAGCAGCAGGAAAGTTCTTTGATAAAGAAGCCTTGCTCCAGCAACGTACTTCCCAATGAAAACTGTTCCTAACTCGTAGCCTGTGCTTGTCCCGGCAGCTGGGGACTAGCGGCGACATGGGTGTTGTCCAGTTGCTGGCGCTTTGTGGAGAATGCACATCTAGGTGAGCATTACTCGGTGGTTGTAAAACACAACACAGCAAAGTGAACAAGACGATCTGTATGATGAACCCCTGTAGGCATTCAACTATAGCCAAACACAAGTGGAGACAAGTGGTGTACCTGTGCCTGCACGTGTTATCTCTTCGTCGTAGCTGCTGTTGAATTGGTGTCTCTGTGCTGCTGACCCGTACATGCTGCTGTGCTGCTTTGTTGCTGACACGTGCACCTTTTTGTGCTGAGTACACCACTTTTTGTGCTGACGAGGGCACCAATTTCTGATACCATGTTTTCCTTTTGCCATGTCAGTCGTCAGACGTTCGTCGTCAGTCGTCCGACGTTCGTCGTCAGTCGTCCGACGTTCGTCGTCAGTCGTCCTACGTTCGTCGTCAGTCGTCCGACGGTCGTCGTCAGTCGTCCGACGTTCGTCGTCAGTGGTCCGACGTTCGTCGTCAGTTGTCCGACGTTCGTCGTCAGTTGTCCGACGTTCGTCGTCAGTTGTCCGACGTTCGTCGTCAGTTGTCCGACGTTCGTCGTCAGTTGTCCGACGTTCGTCGTCAGTTGTCCGACGTTCGTCGTCAGTTGTCCGACGTTCGTCGTCAGTTGTCCGACGTTCGTCGTCAGTCGTTCGTTGACAGTCGTCAGTCATTCGTTGTCAGTGTTAGTTCTCCATTATGAGTTCTTCCGTCGCCGCTTGAAGTAAACTATGAAAAGCTCTCTCTCTAGCTCTAGAGAAAACCACTTGACAAGTTCGTTTTGATGCGTGGCGTAGCGAGGATAGAAGAGGCAGCTCGTTCGCAACCTTCCGAGATGACACAGGCATGGTGGAACCAATGTGCTATGAACACAAGCCAAGTAGACACACCATATTCTATCGGTGCTCTGTGTGCTGCTTCTCGCATTGCAGTTTGAGTACCATGACCGAGGACTCGCCAATGCACGCGGACCTGGTGGCAGCCTTGCGAATTCCGCTCCCGCCGGGTTCCCCGCCGTCACTCCTCCACCTCCGCTTGGCGACTCGGTCACTGACCGCCTCCCACGACCGCCTCCTTCCCGTGCGAGCGAGGATTTATGGAATCCGTCGCCGTGGGGATTGCCATCCCGGGGCCGGAGTTGGTATTGTCGAACAGACACACCATCTCCGGTGCCCCGGCCACCGCCTTCGCCACAATCGACAGCGCCGCCATTGGTCTGGCATGCCCGCCTCGACGGCGCTAGGCGCCAATACGAACTGACGCCTGCGCCATCGCCACCGACGCCCTCGGTCGACCGTCTGGTACAGGGTATCCGCCGGCGGCTGACTCTGCGCTCGTATCGACCTCGACAACGCCACAACCCACTACCACCACCACGAACTCACCCTCAACATCGCCATTGCTACTTTGACGCCGAGGTTCTCACTCTACTGAGTGACGATCTTGGCTCGAACTCGTTTCGCTCCGTCTGCTGCCCCATCGTTCGTTGTGTTTGGAGAAGTGGGTTAAGATACACT